ACAAGAAAAAGCCAGAATTACATGGGAAACGCAGAAAAGTCACTTTTAATAGTTTTGTGCATTACAGCCAAACTAAGTGACAGAGCCACACCAAACCACTCTATAATGTACAAGTCGCCGCTGTGAGGCTTCCTGAGGTGGAAACTGGCAGATAGGTGCTTCTGGAAGAGAATGGCAGCTTGTGTGAAAAAGCTTGTTTTCTCAGCCTGAGAAGCTCATTCGGCACACTTAGGTGGAAAAACACCAAAGTCCCACAGAATTGCATGTGAAACAAGAAAAAGCCAGAATTACATGGGAAACGCAGAAAAGTCACTTTTAATAGTTTTGTGCATTACAGCCAAACTAAGTGACAGAGCCACACCAAACCACTCTATAATGTACAAGTCGCCGCTGTGAGGCTTCCTGAGGTGGAAACTGGCACATAGGTGCTTCTGGAAGAGAATGGCAGCTTGTGTGAAAAAGCTTGTTTTCTCAGCCTGAGAAGCTCATTCGGCACACTTAGGTGGAAAAACACCAAAGTCCCACAGAATTGCATGTGAAACAAGAAAAAGCCAGAATTACATGGGAAACGCAGAAAAGTCACTTTTAATAGTTTTGTGCATTACAGCCAAACTAAGTGACAGAGCCACACAAAACCACTCTATAATGTACAAGTCGCCGCTGTGAGGCTTCCTGAGGTGGAAACTGGCACATAGGTGCTTCTGGAAGAGAATGGCAGCTTGTGTGAAAAACTTGTTTTCTCAGCCTGAGAAGCTCATTCAGCACACTTAGGTGGAAAAACACCAAAGTCCCACAGAATTGCATGTGAAACAAAAAAAAGCCAGAATTACATGGGAAACGCAGAAAAGTCACTTTTAATAGTTTTGTGCATTACAGCCAAACTAAGTGACAGAGCCACACAAAACCACTCTATAATGTACAAGTCGCCGCTGTGAGGCTTCCTGAGAGTGGAAACTGGCACATAGGTGCTTCTGGAAGAGAATGGCAGCTTGTGTGAAAAAGCTTGTTTTCTCAGCCTGAGAAGCTCATTCGGCACACTTAGGTGGAAAAACACCAAAGTCCCACAGAATTGCATGTGAAACAAGAAAAAGCCAGAATTACATGGGAAGCGCAGAAAAGTCACTTTTAATAGTTTTGTGCATTACAGCCAAACTAAGTGACAGAGCCACACCAAACCACTCTATAATGTACAAGTCGCCGCTGTGAGGCTTCCTGAGGTGGAAACTGGCACATAGGTGCTTCTGGAAGAGAATGGCAGCTTGTGTGAAAAAGCTTGTTTTCTCAGCCTGAGAAGCTCATTCGGCACACTTAGGTGGAAAAACACCAAAGTCCCACAGAATTGCATGTGAAACAAGAAAAAGCCAGAATTACATGGGAAACGCAGAAAAGTCACTTTTAATAGTTTTGTGCATTACAGCCAAACTAAGTGACAGAGCCACACCAAACCACTCTATAATGTACAAGTCGCCGCTGTGAGGCTTCCTGAGGTGAAACTGTCAGATAGGTGCTTCTGGAAGAGAATGGCAGCTTGTGTGAAAAAGCTTGTTTTTCTCAGCCTGAGAAGCTCATTCGGCACACTTAGGTGGAAAAACACCAAAGTCCCACAGAATTGCATGTGAAACAAGAAAAAGCCAGAATTACATGGGAAACGCAGAAAAGTCACTTTTAATAGTTTTGTGCATTACAGCCAAACTAAGTGACAGAGCCACACCAAACCACTCTATAATGTACAAGTCGCCGCTGTGAGGCTTCCTGAGGTGGAAACTGGCACATAGGTGCTTCTGGAAGAGAATGGCAGCTTGTGTGAAAAAGCTTGTTTTCTCAGCCTGAGAAGCTCATTCAGCACACTTAGGTGGAAAAACACCAAAGTCCCACAGAATTGCATGTGAAACAAGAAAAAGCCAGAATTACATGGGAAACGCAGAAAAGTCACTTTTAATAGTTTTGTGCATTACAGCCAAACTAAGTGACAGAGCCACACAAACCACTCTATAATGTACAAGTCGCCGCTGTGAGGCTTCCTGAGGTGGAAACTGGCACATAGGTGCTTCTGGAAGAGAATGGCAGCTTGTGTGAAAAAGCATGTTTTTCTCAGCCTGAGAAGCTCATTCGGCACACTTAGGTGGAAAAACACCAAAGTCCCACAGAATTGCATGTGAAACAAGAAAAAGCCAAATTACATGGGAAAC